CGGTCATTGTACACGCTCCTTCGAGGTTTCGTTTTCGTTCATACCACTGATCACCAAGTTGATCAATGGCTGTATGTATTCTATAGCCATCTGTACTCAGCACAACGATGCCTTCACACCTGGAGGTGTGTGAACAAGGCAGGGAGGTGGCCCTCCAGGCACTCATGGGCACCACAGTCTGCACGAGGGAAGGCCATACTCACGCACCTGCGTGGGACTTGAGTGCCAGTTCCTGAGGCAAAAAGACTGATTTGTACTGCCTGGACCTCATATGTGACCTCTCATATAGGGGCTTGTACAATTGCAAGCTCATTTTCTGGTTGGGAACCTCACCTCCCCACCCCCAGGGAGTGGAGGAGGGAGAGGGGGCACCACTGGCAGGGGACCTGTGGGGCTACACGGGTCTGGGGGTTTCCTGGGGCCTGGGGCTTGCGGTGCTGAGATTGCGGGAGCCCGCATAGTCACAGGGTAGGGGAAGGCAGCACCCAGCCAATGAAGTGGAGGATGCCTTCTCCTCCTAGGGCTTGGGGCAGGCCCAGGCTCACCGGAGGCAGGATGGCTACTTACTTGAGGGCCAGGAGCACCCAGAGGCCTCGCTCACCCCTGCCAGGGGCGAGCAACTTAGCTGCACCGGGACAAGAGTGGCTCGTACTGTCGGGAGCAGCCCCAACAGCTGTCAGGATCAGAAGGCCAGGGCTTGTTTGCTTACGCATTTAGTTTTTACAGCAAAGCTGTAATGAGTGTTAAATTACAATGCAAAACGTGTGGTTGCTGGCATCATGAACATTGCACACTCAACGTGGGGTGGGTAAAAGTATTTTTCCTCCTGAGAACTCAAGAATTTGATTGTGATCATATAAATGCTGTTATGGATTTAGGAAGGATCCTGCTGGCAGGCATGGCATAAGCAAATTGTGCTGCATTTTGCAAATGATTAAAATCAGGATCAGCGTTTTTCAAATTAACTTGGAAAAATGGTTTTCCTCTTTCTAGTGAGCTGTCAACTTTGCTTTAAAAAAAAAAAAAAAAGCAAGAGCTCTGCAGCCAAGCGGAGAGCGTGGGTTGGGAGACAGTTCACCTGTATTCGGACGGATGAGACCCTGGCCTCCCACGAGGAGGATGCGAAGCTCCTTGGCCCACTCAGCGCCTCCGATCTCATGGGCCCCCAGCAGTAAACTTGTACTGTGTTTAGAATTGACCAGCGCCTTTAAATAAGTGCGGACATGGCAGAAACCTTAATAGAATAGATGCCTGGGTCTTGCAGAGAGATGTGTTTCCCTGTGCAGCGATTTTGGTGAGACTGGTGGAGGACAATCGAAACCAAACCCAGTGCCATGGAGTCAGTTCCTACTCGTAGCGACCCTATAGGTCAGAGTAGAACTGCCCCATAGGGTTTCCAAGGCTGTAATCTTTAAGCAGGAGCCCTGGTGGCACAGTGGTTAAGAGCTACGGCTGCTAATCAAAAAGTTGGCAATTCAAATCCGCCAACTGCTCCTGGGAAACCCTATGGGGCAGTTCTACTCTGACCTATAGGGTTGCTACGAGTAGGAACTGACTCATCCGAAACAGTTTCCTTTTAGCCTTCAAGGAGGCAGACTGCCACATCTTTCTCCCGCCGGTGGAGGAGAGCTCCCTTTTATTGCATCTCGTGGCTGCACTGTTTGAGCTTAAGTCACCTCAGCACTTTGTCATAAAGCCCTTTTGCCACAACTTTAAAACTGGCCATAAAAACCGGGCCCCATCTTGGCGGGATGCCTGGGGAGACCGGTTCCCACTCTGCTCGCTGAGGAGCCTGGACCACAGCCGCCCTCCCGTTACCCCGCATTTGGGCTGCGGAAGCGAGAAGGCCAAGTTTCTAGCGATACATGGGGAGCACGGTCAGCGCCGCAAACACCCGCCATGAGGACGGGGTTCGCTCCGCGAGAAAGCGGGTCAGCTGCTGGCATGGCCCTGACTAGCCTCTCTCTCTCGTGGGATGTCGGCTCTGGCGCCGGTTCCCTACGAGACAGAGCTGCCGGGGGAACAACGTGGACCCCCAAAGACCCCTCAGGGTCCCCTGGCCTAACCCTTTGCAGAGATGAGTCGGGAGGTGCCTCCACTTTGTAGAAATAGCTGGAACGTTCCAGTGTGTCTGAGCCCTGGGCTCGCCTACGGTGGGAGAATAAGCGGAAAGGGAGGGGGCGGGGCCACGGAGGACGGGATCAAGCAATGGAAGGGGAGAGGCAGGGCTAGGTGGGGTGGGCGGGGCCACAGAGGGGCGGATCGAGCAATGGAAGGGGGAGAGGCAGGGCTAGGTGGGGTGGGCGGGGCCACAGAGGGGCGGATCGAGCAATGGAAGGGGGAGAGGCAGGGCTAGGTGGGGTGGGCGGGGCCACAGAGGGGCGGATCAAGCAATGGAAGGGGAGAGGCAGGGCTAGGTGGGGTGGGCGGGGCCACAGAGGGGCGGAGCAAGCAATGGATGGGGAGAGGCAGGGCTAGGCGGGGTGGGTAGGGCCACGGAGGGTTGGAGGAAAGGAGGGGTGGGGTGGACGGGGCCGCATATGTGGCGAGGCGGGCCATGGTGGGGGTTGGGGCGGGGCCGTTGAGGGAGCAGGGAGAGGCAAGGGAGGGGGCCCCTGCAAGGGAGAAACTGGAGGTGGAATAGGCGGGTCGAGCGAGAGGCGGTACTAGGGATGGGGTGGGGCCCTGGGGGTGCGGGGAGGGTCTGGGCGGGGCCTGCGATGCTCTGAGGAGGATTGCGTTGCCCCGCGAAGGGAACTGGGAAGGGGTCTGCCCGCCGCCTTTGAGAAGAGGGCAGCAGTGGCGGCGCCACAGTGGGTGGTGAGTCCGTGGCGATGACCCTCACTCACCCTCTGTCGCCCGTGGGCACTCCCTGGAGCTTTCCTAGCCCTGGGCACCTGAGGTGCTGAGGCTGCCACTCCCTGCACCTTTGACCCCCACCTCTGCTCCCCACCCTAGGCCGACACCATGTGGTGACTCATGACGTCACCTTGCGCCCCGCTGGAGGCTGTCTGCCCTGGGGGCCTCAGGGCTTTGGGACACGTGATGGTGCTGTGCTTAGAAACGTGGGGGCCCTGTGCTTGGCTGGTGCGGGCAGATAGCAAATTGGACGGCCTTCATCTGTGGCCAGGAGAAGACCAAGGGTCTCATCGTGGGTCAGACACTGGTTCCTCTTGATGGGACCTAGACCCTGAATCCTGGCTCTCCTTGTCCCTCTGACGACCCCACCTTTCCTATGGGGTCCATGCCTGGAATCTCTCTGAGCCCTTCTCAAGTTATCCCCCGTGTTTCAGCAATTTTTGTAAGGGATTCTACTCCAACGTGCCAAGTCAACGTCGAGAAGGAGGGGGAGGGTGTCTGCACTGAGTCCCAGATGCACTGTGGCCGTGTGCTCTTCCCTCCAGCACTGATGACGGATGACACAGTCCCTGGGTGGGATGCTTGCGTCACACCTGGGGCGGTGAGCGGCCCTGCAGTCTCAGCTGGCACTGTAATCCCACTGCTGGTGGCAGCAGGCCTGCCACAGCAAGACCTTGGCCTGGCCCAGAGGCCCTGAGAGCTGGCTCTAGACCTGCCCAGGAGCCATGGCCACTGGGGTAGGGTGAGAAGTCAGGTGCTGACCAGACATTGCCCCCTCTGCCATGCAGGGGTGTGAGGCGGCCAGGCTGAGGTTAGGCAGGACCCAGCCCTGTGGGCTTCAGCTCCAGTTGTGGTGAGGGTTGATCCAGGAGCCCCCAGCAGGTTTCAGAGTTGGTGCTGGCCTGGGAGGGTTGGGACGTCTGGGCGCCGGCCCTGTGCCCTGGGCTCACCTCTGACCTCTTACGCCCAGGTGCCCAGTTCCTGGCTGTGTGGGGCTTGGCCACATCAGTGGCAAGTACGCCTCGCACAGGAGTGCGTCCGGCTGCCCGCTGGCTGCCCGCAGGCAGAAGGAAGGGTCCCTCAACGGCTCATCATTTTCCTGGAAGTCACTGAAGAATGAGGGACCCACCTGCCCCACACCTGGTTGTGATGGCTCTGGCCATGCCAACGGGAGCTTCCTCACCCACCGGAGGTAATGTTCTGCAGGGTGGCCACAGCTGGCCCAGGACCATGGGGCAAGACCCCAGAAGGGAGCAGAGGAGGGCTTAGGCATGGCTGGCAGTTTCTCGAGGGGAAGCTGACCCCAAACTGGAGGGAGCCCCAGAAAACTCTGGTGTCAGGCAGTGGGATGTGCTACATTTCACCATCTGTGTCTGCGGGGCAAGCCTCCCTTCGACACACCCAATGTGTGCCCACCTGGCCAGGTGCTCTGCCACATGTCCATGGGTGACGCCCTCCTGACTCACCCCAGGACCCACTGTGCTCCCTCCCTGTGCAGGTCAGCACCTGGTCCCATCAGAAACACTGCATCTGGGCCAGGGCACATTCTTCTCTTTTATGTCTTTGCCTCTGCATCCACGAAATTGCCTAGCTTATTTCTTCAACCAGCACTCAGTAGAGTCGCCTGCCCTGGGCTCTGAGGACAGAACTGAGAGCAAGCTGCACTGAGAGTGCTGCAGCAGGGGGACAGAGGCAGACAAGAAACAAACACAGATGTGAACATACATCCAGCCACCGAGTGACCTCACAACTGTCCTGATGTGTGACCTCAGACCTGTCATGATCTGTGACCTCAGACCTGTCCTGCTGTGACCTCAGACCTGTCCTGACCTGTGACCTCACACCTGTCCTGA